GGTCATTGCAGGTGCTCAGGTCCTCCAGCTTCCCCGAGAGCGTCCGCAGCGTGCCGTGCAGCTCGCTCTTGTCTGACTGCGAGGCGGGCTCCTCGTCGCCCGAGTCGTCTGCGAAGGGAGGGATGGAGAGAAAACGGTTTCCATGGTTACCCCCGGACCGCGCTACCCCACCGGCGCTGCGGGCAGGGGACCTCGGACGAGCCACACGCCAAACCCACGCACGGCCACGGAGCCGGGCGCCGCCTCGACGCACCCAGTGCTGGGGACAAACCTCGCAGGGGCTCTGCAAGGAGAAAACCAGGAAAAACTGCTGCACCCAAGGGAAAGGGTGCAAAGGCACAGCGGGGAGGAACGGCCTTCACCAGAAACCCTCCTCACGCCTTCCGAGGGCGGAAAGCTCCACGGCCAGCACCTCAGGTACAGCAGAAGCCGTTATTCCTGCAACTCCACAACACCCGGGTGACTTCAGACCAGAAACCCAACCCCGAACCGAGCTGCGAGTGCAAGGCAGCGCTCCTCGGACCGCCGCACCGCGCAGAGCTGAGCAGCTCCGAGCGATGGCGCTGCCCAACGCGGGCACAACAGGGCGAGTGGAGCAGGTCCTGCGCCCCATCCCCGCCCCCGAAGTTCAGCTGAGGTTTCTCCAGGCCCACCCCAAGCCTCCAAGGCAGCAGAGCAGGGAGCAGCCCCTCCACCTCCCCTCCCTCCACCACCCGCTTCTGGATTAAATGGAGATGGGGACTGGCAAAACCCGCCCCATCTCCTGGGCCAGGACCGGGGGAGCCGGGGTGAGGACGTCCCCAGGCCAGCCTGGCTCAGGGACCCCCCGAAGCTGAGGTTTCTCCAGGCCCACCCCAAGCCTCCAAGGCAGCAGAGCAGGGAGCAGCCCCTCCACCTCCCCTCCCTCCACCACCCGCTTCTGGATTAAATGGAGATGGGGACTGGCAAAACCCGCCCCATCTCCTGGGCCAGGACCGGGGGAGCCGGGGTGAGGACGTCCCCAGGCCAGCCTGGCTCAGGGACCCCCCGATGCCGCAGCGAGCGGCCTGCAGGGATGCCTCGGCTCTAACGGCGGAGCAGCACAGCCCCTGTCTGGGCTGCACGAAAAGGAGGAAAGCCCACACTCCACTGGTGGGGGGCGGGCGGGTTTCATTCGTGGATC